AGTCCTTTTGAGCAAAGGATGAAACCGGTCATGGCAGCTCTACACACCCACACCCTTTTTACCATTTATTCAAAATGAAGTACAATTTTTTCTGATGCGACAAAAAATTATGGCTCGCCCAACATCTCAACAATCACAAACAGTGATTAATATACATAAAATTAATATTGAGAATGATCCAATCAATGAAGAATACATTGAACTAAGAGATCTAATAAAAGGTCAACTGCAACAACAAACCAATTTTAATGATAAATTATTCGTTCATTATACGCATGAAAAACGATTTCATTCGATCAAAAGAGATATACATCAAATCTATAATAATATCTTTCAGAATAAACCAACAATAGATCATAGATTAATTGTTGGCAGTCGTAACCATCGAAATGCGCAACATGAACTAATTCATAAACGACCAAAACCATTCTTTCTGAAAAACAAGATAATAAAAAGTAAACATTAGAAAATATTAAGAAAATTAATCTATTATTTCAACTTATCTCTTTACTTTTCATTCATTAGAACGATCGAGAAACACAAAGAAACGATCGAACTCAAAAATGACAACTGATCAAGCATAATCTAGACTAACGAACAATTAAAAGAATACTGTTAGAAAAAAATTATTGTCCTGAAAATAAATGACTTAAAAACTAATTTTATAAAGATATTTTCTCATTTGTATTCTTGTTTCCTTTTTTAGATTAATCGAACATTTCTTTCTAATTTACTAACTTTTTATTTAACAAAATGGTTTCATCAAACAATTTGACAACATCTCAACTACTTGTCAAGTTAATAGATTTTCAACTTCGATCACTTGAGAAATCGATACGTATTCTTGGAAATTGTACTCGTGAATGTGAAACAAGATCTCCAATTATTCTTAATCGGTCTTTTTCTCGAATTATTCTACCAGTATTTCCTGAACTAAATGGTTTCGATGAATTCTATCCTCTTCTAGCCAACTTACCTAGTAGTATATACATATTTTGGTCTTCTATCATGATTTTACAAACTTGTCTATTTAGATGGACAATTAACACATAAAGAACTTGTATTTCGAACAAATTATCGTTATCTAGGACGTGTAATTGATATATCACTTACTTATGATAATGAAATCGGTTATGAAATACAAAGTCTATTCAGTTTTTATGCACAAAAATGGAATATTGATCAAGATATCTTAATTGTCAATTTAAATCGATTATTGGTTTTACTTCCTCAATTGACATTAAAGGATTTCAATTTAAAATATGAGCAAAACTCATGTCGATTATCTATGGAAGAATGGTTTATGGCTTTGGAATTCTATTTACAAATGGATGGTTTGTATATTAATATAATTGTATAATATTATATGTATATCTATGTTTAGCACAATGTTTTTTAATGAAGACATGTTCATTTCGTCAGTCAATACCACGATGTATTGACGAAGGTTTATTTTCTTTGGCTTTACCTTCAGGTCAATATGGTATGAAACAATGTCGAGATCAAAGTTGTGGTTATTGTTACGAACGATTAGCTATGACACATCGTTCTGAACAAGCCATGTCTTTTTCTATTCGACAGATCCATCACTTTGTTAGTGGCTATCAAGTTTATTTAAATTGTAATGTGGTAAGTTAATTGATTCAAAAAAATCAGTGATTTTTATAAACTAATCTATTATAGATAAGAACTTGTACTACGTCGAATGTCATCTATGCTTTAACTTGTCCTTGTCATCAATATGATTATATTGGTCGATGTTACGTATCTTTTCGAGAATGCATACTGCGTAAGTTATCTTCAACAACATAAACATGAAAACAAAAAACAAAAAAAACAAATATATTTTTATATATTGATTATAGAACATCGTATAAATAATGGTCGTATTATGAGCAATTTCTTTCTTGGTCAAACAGTAGCTGATCGTCTTGAAAATGATCGAGACGAGAAATTGTAAGTATTCACGTCTATTTTATTTTTATATTCATAATATACAATGAACTAACATTGAAATTGAATAAAATAAACAAAAAAGAAAATAAATAAATCTATATCATTGATTTAGAATAATTAGTGAATCAGATACAAAACTTTATCAACATTCAATTGAATGTCTTACGACTATAAAGATATTCTTGGCATGTCATCCTCGTTATTGGTGTTTTGTTCCTATGACTAGTGAACAAGCCGCTATAGATGATACAAATATAACTTCTATAGAAAGAAGTATTTTGGCTGCATATCAAACGTCTCATTCAGAATATAACACATATGAAAGAAGCACCAATCCATATCAACGAACTACTACTAATGTAGCTTGGTGTATGAATAATTTACCATCGCCTCCGCCCAATTATCAATATTCATTACGACAGAAACTTGAACAATTGAATTTTTTTCGAGATCGATTAGATTTTCTTACATCACGATTTCTTAATCTATACAATACAACAATTGTTATGGTTTGTAAGTGATAGTGTATCAATAATAATGTTCTATAATATACTTACAAACTATTATTTTTGTTTTAGTACCTGAAAGTGCTTCAGATGAAATAGGTCATCTCATACAAGCTTTATTAGTTACTTATGCTCAACCTAAATTAAATCGAACTGTTCATGATACAAATGATCCAATCTTGACTTCTACTAACATCAATGATGCTTGGTGTCAACACTTAATTCATCCTCGTCTATGTTCATCATAACTATAACTCAATATAGATAACCATATCCTATTCAATTAAAGACATGATTCAGTATTACCTAGTTTCTCATACATTTTTCTTTTTCTTAATAAACATTTTTGTTTGCATCTAAGTCAAAAACATACTGTTTCATACATATTTTCTTTCCCACTTTAGATATAATCATCAAAATAAAAACTTTAATCAACAATATAATAACTTCAACAATTACTGCCATAATCTCTATAACAAGTATCCAACGGACTAGTTTTATAATGGTAATCGACAAACATCATTACAATAATCTACAAATCAACATGATCATCATAATCCTAATTATCTTAATGGTAAACAAGTATCAAACTGATTTTAGGATAATCACTAAATCCAACGTTTGCAACATTGTATAATTTTACATATGTTTATCTTATAGTATCTTCTTAAATTTATAACAACTCAAATCAACATATCTACAGACAGAAACATTATCAAACATATTTTAAATTCGGTTACAAATATGATAACTAACCAATTAATGTTATCTGATCGATTCAACCATGTCCAACTTACATAAACATACAACGAATCAAGTACTAGATATATCACTTGCAACATTATATTAGTTTTGTAATCGATTACTCATCTCAATACCCTATCAAACTCAAAGCAAATTTGATTTTCATCAACTACTATACCAATGATATTCCTGTTTTAGTATTATACTCTTATGCATACACTTGTTTATAGCTTCAGCACTATATGTGTAATGAAATAAAATACATTTGAATAGAGTCATCAGAAGATCGAAATCATAATATGATAT